TGTATCTTGATGACATTCTGATTTTCAGCAAGTCCATGGAGGAGCACGTCAAGCATCTCGAGGAGGTCTTGCAAGTCCTCAAAGATGCTCAACTGCACCTCAACTTGGAGAAATCTGAGTTTGGCAAGGACAGCGTTATCTACCTTGGGCACCGGTTGTCTGCAAGCGGTCTTGAGCCGGAGGCAACCAAGGTTGAGGTCATCCGCAACTGGCCTCAACCAGCGAATGTACGCGAGCTGCGTTCTTTTCTTGGTTTGGCTTCTTACTACCGGAAGTTTGTGCCTAAGTTCTCTGTCATTGCGCACCCACTCTCACGCCTGACTAGTAAGAATGTTGCCTATGCGTGGTGTGAAAAGTGTGAGACTGCGTTCCAAGCCTTGAAAGAGGCTTTGGTGAGTCATCCTGTGCTCCGCATTGCGGATCCCAACCTCACGTTCGTAGTCACTACGGACGCGAGCCAGTTTGGGATTGGTGCAGTGCTGCAACAAGATGATGGCGATGGTCTGCGTCCGCTTGAATATTACAGCAAACGCATGCCCAGCCACAAGGTAGCCAGTTCCACATACATGCGGGAGCTCTACGCCTTGCGCGAGGCGCTCACGCATTGGAAGCACTACCTCTTGGGTCGCCACTTCAAGGTCTATTCAGATCATCAGACCTTGCAATGGATTAAGACACAAACTGATCTCTCTCCAACTCTGACCCGCTGGCTGCCTAACATTGATGTTTTCAACTTTGAACTAAAACATAAGAAAGGCTGCTATAATCGTGTTGATGATGCTCTGTCGCGCCATCCCGAGTATTTGACTTGCCTTGTGGACTCGTACGGCCTCCGAAGGAAACTGAAGGAGGATCTGGTCGAGCACACTGCCAAGGATCCGGACCTTAGTCCCATCCTTGAGCAGCTCAAGGCTGACCCCAACAGTCAGCCTGATTTTCATGAATGCGAGGGTCTTGTACTTCGTCGGTATGGAAAGTTTGACCGTTTGTGTGTACCCAACCATGCGCCTCTCCGAACTCACTTCTTGGATCTGGCGCACGGTCGGAGTGGACATTTTGGCTTTGAGAAGACTTACGGAAGTCTTCTGCAACAATTTGACTGGCCAGGAATGAAAGGATCTGCTCAGAAATTTATTGCTGAATGTCAAGTATGCCAAAGGATCAAGGTTCACAGGCATAAGCCTTATGGCCTACTGAGACCTCTTCCCATTCTCGATGGACCCGGCGAGTCGATTTCCATCGACTTCACGGACATGGGAAAAGTGAGTGAGGTTGGGAATTCACAAGTCATGGTCATTGTGGACCGCTTCTCCAAATTTCTGAACTTGATTCCTCTCCCTCCTCACGCCCCGACTGAACTTGTCATAGAAGAATTCCATCAGCAGTACATTCTGCAGTCCGGCGTCCCGAAAACTATTGTGAGTGATCGGGACACCAGATTCATCAGCAAAGATTGGAAAAACTTCACATCTCAGATCTACGACATCAAACTGAACAGGACTTCTGGTCGACACCCCGAATCCAACGGATTGGCTGAGGAGATCAACCAGACTGTCATCCAATTGCTTCGCGCACTAATTGTTCCAGATCAGAACACGTGGGACAAGGAATTGCAAAAAGTGAAGGGGCTGTACAACAACTCCATTCACTCTGCGACTGGCGTGACACCAAACCAATTGCAGTATGGATGGCCGATGTGTAATCCCCTCTCCTATCTGTTCCCTGAACGGTCACCTGGTCTGATGCCCGGCGTGCCTGGCTACAATGCCAAGTACGCACGCTTGCTAAAAGCTGCTACAGCAGCTATGAACAAGCGCCAGCATGCCATGATCAAACATGCCAATAAGCGGCGCAAAGAAGAAAAGTTCAAAGTAGGGGATTATGTTTGGGTCAAAATGTCTGAGTTTTCTGATGAAGAGGGCATATCACGGAAGCTTCTTCCACTGTACTACGGCCCTTGGCAGATTCTGAAGACAATCGGGGATGATTTCGGTCCTTCGTATGTGATTGACGTGCCTCCTCATCTGCGCACGTATCCAGTCTTCCATGCCTCCAAACTGTTCCCACACATTGATGATGAGACTTTTCCCTTCCGTGATCCTATGATACGTCGCCTTATTGACGGCGTCCATGAGATTGACAAAATCGTTTCTCACGAGGGGAGAGGAAGGAACAGACAGTACAAGTTCATTTCCTCTACCACCCGTTGAATGAATTCTTCTGGATCGACCGGAAAGAACTGATAAAGAGTGCTCCACGTGTTGTGAACGCATATGAACGACAGATTGTTGACGGACAGACCACTAAGTTTGCTGCAAAACTCACTCCGTTCGGACTCACTAACACTCTCTTTTTGATCTATGCCTATGACGCCTTCTGTGCCGACTCTGACTGAGTTACTCGCTCGAAGGGACCTTGCTCTCGAGAGGGGAGTAATGTAATGACCCGCCCAAAACACAGACTGAGAACACTGCTGATTTCTGGGATTTGCCAATAGAATGAATGCCTTGCCGTGATTCCCGCATTCTGCTGTGGTCCCAAGTCTGTGTGTGTGCGTGCCTGCTGGTTTGCATGCCTGTCTGAGTGCTTGCCGGATGTGTGTGTGTGTGTGCCTGCTGGGTTGCATGCCTGTCTGAGTGCTTGCTGGTTCGGTATGTGTGGGTACTTGTTGGTTGCAAGGCCCACCGGGCCGGTACTTACCTGTGGCCGTGACTTTGGAGGGTTGCAGGGGGGTAAACATGCCGGTAGCGGGGAGTAGGCCCACGACACTTAGAGCAGCTGGGGAAAAACACTCAAGTA